ATGGGTAGCGAAAGAAGAAGCCCTTCAATTTATGCCACTCCATACAAAATAGAGAAGGAAGGCCTTTCGGAAGAGCTTTTGACTCCTGAAATTATCTACTGGGAAAAGCTCTTTTAGAAGGCATGCCGGAAAGCACTTTTTTCAGCCCTTCTTGGGTAAATCTTCACTTGTGAAGCCCTACCGAAATTATCTTCTGCGACTATATATAGAAATTTAACTAAAAGTATATTAATTTGTGTTACCAAATCTGCAAAAAGGATCATTATAAGGTTTTAATTATAAATCTATGCTTATTTCACAGACCGGTGACTTCATAGTTCTACGTTCGGATTTGGTCAACGATTGGCCTATCATTTGGCAAGTGGATACCCAATGCATTCTACAAAAATACGAACCGTTTTGCCAAAATGGCAAAATGTTCTATCGTAACATGTCCATGGTACTAACAAAATTTAAATTACTCCAACACTTATTTATCAATCACTTCCTATTTTTTCCAGTATTCGTCTTGGAATCTCGATTCTAAGAAGCTATACGTTAAGGCGCCCGTGCGCATACAGGTACAATCGCACAAAGAGACTATCGTGGAATTTATGCGATCCGAGTTGCTAGCCGACGATACTGAACAATTTATTGAGAAAATCATGGAAGACTTTTTGCGTTATCGTGATAACTTTGAAATTTATATTCAAACAATGATATCGCAAGTGCTTGATCCCAGCTTTTTCTTGGAAATAACTAGAGAAAAAGGTGCGTCTATGGGTTTATTTATTATGGTTATTTAGTTGAGCTATTTTAATCGCCTTCTATTCTTCTAGATGAATACTTTTTGGGCAGCGTCCGCATCATCGACAGCATAATGGACAATTGCAAGCGTAAGTTACTTTCTATTACGCCTTGGACGCGCAGTATTATTGTTTCGATTGAAACATATCCCAAATGTCATGTATTCACTGAATGGGGTCAAAATAATTTGACCCAAAAGAATTGTGGAGGCTGTCATCAACCAGGCATATCAGTACGTTTTCTACTTTTCGGCAATCCTTATCATGCCAACACTATGCAGCCGGTCCCAGTTGATACACGTTTGGCTTGTGAGAAGGTTTGTGGAAAAATACGCTTTTATAGTTGAAAAATTTAATTGAATTTGAGGTTTTAAAATGCAACTAGGATATACTTTTATGCCGCATTTGTGCTGCTCGCGCCGACATTTTCCACAAGATTGCTCATGAGAAGTTTAATTTGTATATACATTGTTCGAGACGTGTTGCTGAGCAACAACAAGAATATCCTGGTAAATCTTCTACGGAAATTTTGAATGATCTACTCGCCGAACACAACTGGGTGGATGAGGTAAGGGGTAATTTGCTGTTGGTTGCTTACACCGCTCTTACACGATATTAATGTGCTTATGCAAAGGTTAATTTTTTGTATCTACTCGTAAGTACCATATATTAGAACGTATCAGAAAAGTAGCACTTACATATGCAAATACATATCGTGTAAGAACGCTCTTAATAAGCACGGCATTTTCAATACTATTTAAAAATATACGGATGATTTTTTTACATCGTTAAAAGCTGATAATTTTGATCTAACCTAATATTCTCCTCTATATTCAGCTATTCCGCAACATGCGCAACTCGTGGGCCGAGGTTGAAAGCTTAGAGCGTCAAAAACGTTTTCGCGAAGTTTCACAATAAAATGAACACGGTTAAGGCATGCTAATAATTTACATTATTGTCTTTGGAATTGGTGCTCACGTTCTGGCCGAGTTCAGAATAAATATGCCGTGCAATAAGTAGCCCAGCAAACAGCTAACGAAATTCCTTAAAAACTCTAATTACGCAAGCAAAACTAAATGATTAAAATTACTACATACAAAACAAAAATTGAACGACAAAAAATATTCTTTTACAAACTGTTATAAGCGCGTAAAATGCAACATACAACATTTTTGTGCAAGCTATAGAACAGTTCAGCTAAGCTAAATACAAATATATACATACACATATAATAGCAGTTGCTAAGTACATATATGCATACATACGAATTCTACAGACGTACTAAATATATAGCAGATAAGCAACAATTTGATGTTTAAGTAAATGCAGAGAAGAAATCCTGCCTATTGCTAAACATTTTGAATTGGTCAACACATGTAGATTAGAACGATTTTTTATATTTGTTTTTTTTTTTTTTTTTTAAAGCCTAGCAATGTTATTTCTATTCATTCTTTATCAAGCTCGAGGTTTGCTACTTGTTTAATTGAAATTGATTAAAAATGGAATTAGGGGAAGATGTTAATAAATTTTGGAATAGTTGTTACTTCACAATGCTTCACCTTACTGGCGTCCCTAAATTGGAACGCTAAGCGTTAAGTTTTCTATTGTCAACAAGTGTCAGCGCGCGCTATCCCCAAATCAACAGTGGACAGCAGTTAGACATGTAGTGCTATGGTAACATGATGAATAAGTTTTGGGGAATGCAGCCGAAGTGGTAGTCCCTGGCAAGGTATACGTTTGCGTCGTTCGTTGCAAAAAATTTGAAATTTAAAAAATTGTCCCTGTAACTTATCTTGAGCTTACTAAACAATTGAATAAAAATAATTCTTACTATTCGCTGGCACTTATATTTAGGTTATTTTCTATAGCACATAAACTGATTATTTAAAAAAAAACATTAATATTTCTGTTACAGCCTTATTATCTATCTNTATATTTAGGTTATTTTCTATAGCACATAAACTGATTATTTAAAAAAAAAAACATTAATATTTCTGTTACAGCCTTATTATCTATCCCGAACGTTAGGCCGCACTTTTGACACCATCGTTGTTCTTCGTCTTGCTTTACGTCGATTACGTTGCAACTGGCTAGACAACAACAACAACAACAACAACGCCAACAACAACAACATGTTGAAAACGAATCGTTCGTGGGGCCTATCGTCCGGGCTAGATAGTAAGGCTGTTAACACTTTTTGTTTGCTACAAAATTTTATTATTCAACAAAATCTTCTTGGAACACCAAAAACGCATCGCGTGTTGTGACGTTCTTGCAAGCAATATGGCCAACATATGTATAATGAATGATGCATTGGCAGATGTAAAAAAAAACCAAAAATATGCATTATGTATGTATATGTTAATAAAAATTTAATTTAGATTTTATCAAGATTTTCGGTTTATATATTAGGGGTTATAAAATTTATAAATCGCATACAAATCCTTTCGAAGCGTTTTCAATCTGTTTCTAAACACATGTAAATAATCCATAATTGAATTTGTTTAAAAAGGAAAGTTAAAATAAATACCTACGAAGAAACACAAACTGTTCGTAACAAATTCGATTTACCACTAAACTACTAAATTCTATTAGCCGCTCAATATGCGTTAGATTTCCATATATTCACACACGAAAACGCACTTGAAACACACAAATAGTGACACTCTTTCAATCAAAATTATCTTAGCTTTAAGTTTGGTCCCATTAGTATAGTATTTACACACTTTAATATACATTTAAAGTTATATTAATGTATAAACTTCACTTGTTTCTTAGACGCTAACTGAAATCAAAAGGAAATTAATTTGCAGTTAAGTTAGGATTAGCAAAAGCTATTCCTCTATTGTGTTTGAATTACAATTTAAAAATCTTTGGTCCAAATTTTCAACAGTTTTTATATTAATATTACTCTATTTGAATTTACTTTAAAATTTGTATAGTCTTAAGTTCTCACTTGGAAATGTACAGAACACAAATAAAAATATATGTATACATATAAACATATATAATCAAATAATATACGTTTTTCGGGCTTTTGCACATTTCCCTATTGTAATCACAAACGACACTTTAATGGAACTTTTACCAATCCTACGAAACATTATCTTGTGTTTAATGACAATATTTTTTTACGTTCAATACTGTTATGAATAATATTTTGCATAATTCTTTTCTATTAAATTTGGATAGTTTAATTCTATTTCTTTTCATAGGTATGTTTGTTAGCTTCTATGAAATCGCTGTATCACTACAATCCAACTACATATGCATATAACAATATTAAATATAAATCTTTTAACAACAAACAAAATATTAACTAATATTTTTGTTAGAATAAACGTTAAATTTAACAAATTATCACTTTTTCCATTACTCACATTCCCTTAGCTAATATCTAGCAAAACGCAAAAGGGAATAAATTCCCAAAATTGTTTTTTTTTTGTATAATGTATGGGAATGATTTTCTCACATGCAACTCGCGCCAAGACTGAATATGACCCGGTTACTGACATAGCATGAAATATTTTCTAATAAAGTTTAAGGGTTTGGATGGCGGTTTGCCCTTCGTCGTATACACGTACTTCTTCTTTCACCCAATTGAGTGTCAAGTTATTGCTGCTTAAAATCCACCGTCATTACTAATTTATACATTTCAATCTACACCTTTCACTAGCATTTGAATATGGCTTCAATCATTTCATATTTCTGCAAATCCAAAATATTTCCAATCATACGCTTTTTGAATATTGGCAAGGTACGCTCTGTCAAGAGATCGTATTCATCGATTAATTCTACGGCGCTTTGATTCTTAGGCGATATTGTTCTGTTATTTTTGCTACTCTTATGCTGCGTCTTTTCACTCGGACTTTCAGCTTCATCCGCATCCGAAGTATCCGATGATGATAGTTCTTGTATCGCTTCAGACACTTCATCCAAATCGGGTAATTCACTGGCGTTCGATACAAAAAACGGCACTGAAAAAGCAGACATACAAAAGCCATATGCACCGAATTGGCGCAATTGCTGTCTGAATACTGCTTCGGGATACAATACTATTGGGTCCAGTTGGTAGTCGCGTATAAACTGTGCCAAAGTGTCATAGTAGATTTGCATAAATTCATGAAAGTGTGCATCTCGAAGCGACTTCTCTGTGCAGGCGTAAAGGTAGTGCACCAAATCCAAAACAGGCGACGAATATCGCGAAATTTGAAAGTCAATCAGTTTGGCCTTGACGGCGGTTTGTTGATTGGTGTGCTGCAGATTGTGTTTGAATGAAATTTGAATTTGTTAAACTGCGAATTTAAAGTAATAATCAAATGAGAAAGTACTGTACAGAAAATCGCATAACCTTTTCTTCTTTAATCTAGTTCCTCTTCTCTATGATCCTAAGTGAAAGGATAGGGGCTATTACAGAATCCACCGTAATCCAATTTTTTGCGAAATCTATGAAAATGCGATCACATACTTTGAATATGCACGTTCGTAGCAATTCGGCTTCAACGATAGCATTTTCGTAGATTACACAAGAAATCGGACTACGATGGATTCTGTGATAGCCCTGAATGATTTGACGCTAAAATGGGTCATGGCAGTCGTTCCGAAGCGGAACTCACGGCGTTCATCCATCTACTTGCCGAATTGCCAGAAAACTTTGAGCAGCCATAAATGTCCAACAGATAGACCCCCCTATTATGAATTTCCATACGATAGACGATAAACGCTTGCCAGCGTATCGTATAAAATCAGTTTTCGTATTATCGTTTTCATACGCCCGACAGATGTATTATTGTGAATGGCTGTGGTTTTAGTTCACTTTTTATTGTGATCCAACACAAATCAGCCACGCTAACTATGCAAGCGTTTATCGTGCATCGTATGAAATCATTGATACCCTTCACGAACCATTTGAGTGGACCTTATCAGTGGGCCTTTAGATCTGGAAAATCCACCATCGATCAGATTTCCACAGCACGTCAAATTATGGCGAAGACACTAGATAAGTGAATCAGCAAACACCATCTTTATGTCGGTTCTAAAGCCGGTTTTGATAACACGAGATAAGTGCCTGAACGATGCCAAGTCTAAATTTGGGATCCCCGCAAAACTAATACGGCTATGTAGAGTGACTTTTAGTAAAAAATTCAGCTCCGTTTAAATTGGAAAGGACCTCTCCGCGTCGTTTGATACCAAACGAGATTTTTGACAAGGCGATTCACTTTCGTGCGACTCTTTCAATCTGATGCCGGATAGCGTAAGAAGAGCTGATAATCTGAATCGCAGCGGCACTACATATATACAGCAAAAGCGTGGTCCTGCTGGCATATGCAGATGATAATTACATCATGAGCTTGGGGCCAAGGGACATCAGCGCAACAGTTTCCGCCTTAGAAAAAGAAGCGAAAGAGGTTGATCTAGTGGTAAACGAGGACAAAAGACAGTACCTCCTGGCAATACATAAAAGTCCTTGCGTTTTGGAACACACCTCACTGTTGGCAGTTATAACATTGAAGTAGTGAAGGACTTTTTCTACCTGTCTACCTGTGATCCAGCATAAATACCACCAGCAATGTCAGCCTGGAGATCAAACGAAAAATAATTCTTGCCACAGATGATACTTTGGACTCGTCGTATAAAAATTACGCTTTTCAAATCAGTCAGCATGGCCGGAAAACATGGACGATGCCGATTAAAGATGAGAACGCTTTATTGTCGTAAATGCATACAAATAAAACGATTACGCTAGCTTGGGCATGGTGTACGAATGGATGGCGGTGGTCCAATACAAATATCCTTCGACTCGGCACCCATTAGTGGGGGAGAAACGGTCGGGATGTACAACTGGCGAAGTTTTCTCGTCTCGGCCCAAAATGACGAACGGTTATAAAGTCAAATAGGAAGAAACGGTTAATCTTGCAATACAGAAGAATGTCGCAATAGTTTCTTACTTTGATTTCTGTTTATATTAAACAAGAAATTACAAGATGCACAAAAATTTGTTATTTGTTGAAATCTTTCCTTTATACATAGATATGGAGTCGAAAAGAACATTAAAAACTTCTGCTTCACAGAATGGGCATTTCCATCACGGGTCGCCTATTCTTAAACCGGCACTGCGCATAGTGACTGGAATTCTTACCGGACATTGTCTGATTGGATTACACGCAGCCAGCATGCTAAACCCCTGGAACGACTGCTGTTGAAGTTACATGAAAATGGGTGTGTAAAAAACCATGCAACACATTCTCTGCCTTCTCGGGATAAGATAGAGAGACAAAGCAAATGGGTCTGGTGGTGAACGAGTACAAAGCGCAGTATCCCCTGTCATCACACAAACAGTCAGAGCATAAGCCTCTTGGCACCCACTTGTCACTGTTGACAGTTACAAGTTTGAAAAAGTAGAAGACTTCGTTTATGTGGGAATCAGCATTAGATTCCTCAAAAATATAGAGGTGGCTTCGATAAAAGTTAAAAATAA